TCCCCTATTGACTTGTCACACCCTCCGTGAGCCCTATGTATTGATCAGGTAGACGGAACATTCCGTAGTCAAATTAAGTAATAGAAAACAAAGGCCAAATAATTTGTGTGAAGCACGTCAACCAAAATTCGACCCAATTATCCGTTATCAAAGCATTTTGATTTAAAAATAACCTCATTTCGCATGACTAAATCTGACAGGAATGACAGGTCGCACAGCTATATATAAAGTATATTCTACTACAGTTATTGCCATGATCAAGAAATGCCGTGGATATTATTTTCCAATAAATCATGATCGTCCTCAAAAAATTATCAGATTAGAACAAATCTAAAAAAAAAATGAACTGGTGAAATAAATACATGACATTAAAATGCAGTTCTTATGGATGCAATATCGATTTCTCGTCCTCTGTAGTCTAAAAGATGTATATTAGCTTAAACAGCTGATAATGTCTATTTTTATAGCTAAAATGGGTTGTTTCATGGAAATCCCTACGTGATCAAGCAGCGGTATTAGGGGTTGTGATTCAAACAATTGCAAAGCTGAGAGCAGGATTTAAACAGTTCTCATCAACAGAGTGAGCGTAATATTGCCGTGAGTGATTTGCTGAGTCAAACAAATTCCATGCTATGTGCATCAACCGAAGAACTTGATGATAATAAAAGTGACATTGACAGTGAACCACTTAATATTTTATTCATTGATCCATCCACTTTCACGCAGAGCCATTAGAGAATATAGACATGGAGTCAAATTGAACAATCTCTGTTTCAGAAAATCATGAAGTGTTTTATTGAGTCGAAACTGGACATGTTAAGGACTAATTTGATGGAAATTGTTTGAATAAAGACTTGAGCCTTGAGTTGAAATGTCTTCAGATATTCTTAGAGAAACTAACCGCACTGATCAAGACCTCACTTCTTTACAATCCATATAATCACGTGTGGTTAGTCTAGAGAGCTTGTAAGTGTTGATAACTGCAAACTCCCTGAGGGTTCTTAACAATCATTAAACCCACTGCGCAGTACAGTTAAGGTAGGTTGCGGGTTTATTGCATAAAAATTCTAACGAGAAGACATATCCTGAAAATTTGATATAATGTTCCTTAGAATTTGCAGCATATTATCTGAATTTTTTATTAAATTTGCCTACGTGGTTTTAATGCTATATTACTGTAAACGCGGTATAGTTTTCGGTACTATTTTAACGCTTTACTATAGAAATATGTAGGAAAATAACGTTTTAAAACGATTTTACCCAAAGAGTCTCTTTAGAAAAGGTCTGATAACTTTTTTAAAGACGTAGACGAATTACTCAGAAATTTTAAAATATCAAGATGAGGTAAAATTAATTGTATTAATTTATCAATCGCAGTGTTGTCGCTGCATATTAATTCTAATGCACAAAGATACCGTTTATATACCGTTTATTCTGACTTCGTGGACAGAATATAAATTTCATAATACTAGAGTAGATAAGACTGCTGTTCTTCCTAACACGTTTCTGCAATAAGTAAAATGCTGAATAAAATTACAGTGCGCATCTATGTCACCTTTTAGATCTTGTATATTCCAAATATAAGATACTTATACGTAAACGCGATTACGTTCAATATATGACGCTTTAGTCATAATTAACGCCGTAAACGCAACATTTTGGCAATATGAAAGCAAACTTTAAAATTATTTAACAAAAAACTAGCGAGAAGACTATTGATTTTTTTTTACCTCATTATTAGGATGCTCAAGTTCATTATTAAGATTTCAAGTATAATACGTGAATTTTATCACTTCATTCGAAATCGGTAAAGAACGAAAACACACCCCACTACTAAGAAAGATGGGGGGGGGGGTTACCGGCAATGTTTTTTTTTAAATTCAAACGCAATTCAGTATATCGTCCGAACTCTCAAATATTTGTTCTTTCTTGGTTTTTTTTTTTTTCTCAATTTTTCATCGGCAAAATGTTAAATACATGCATTCAGCTTATGCACAGACAGCTTAATTTTGCTATAGGAAAAATTGTAACCGATACTTGTATTTCATAATGCATGTAGTATATTAATATCTGTTTAGAGTGTCATAAAGGTCCGATATGCTGGGTGTTTGTATAAATTTATTTTAACATGTTTAATGCATTTCACTATGATAAATCAATTCCTTGCTAGCCTGCATATAGAGAACGACTTTATCAGATTCAAATACAAAATATTTTTTTTTTTTTTTTTTTTTAAAAAAAAAAGAGGAAAATGCATGTAATTAAATTTCATTTTTTTTTCCGGCTGTGAGCAAAAATGGTACATTACGCACCTTCCCTTCGTTGCAAATTGCGTGCATACATACAGCCTTTCAATTTTTCGGCTTAGCAATTTACGGTAACTTTCATTTTGCATGCCATATCCTTAATTTAACACTGACTCATTTTGATTGCCCTTTAGTAGTTTGGTATCATTTACAATAAAAATTATTCATTGCATTTTGCCTCGCATTAATTATGTTTTATTAGTTTGTTCTTATACATTACACATATAATCAGAGCAGAATTCAAACTTATACTACTCTGGTTTCATACATTTATGACAATACAATTACGGAAAATAACGTGTACTTTATAAGCTTCGTACGGACTAGATTCTATTGCTTATGTAATTTTTAGAGAAATAAACGGGAAGCAATGCAACGTCGTCTTTGTGACGTAACTGCCGTCATAATCAAATGTGCACAAAACAATCGCTCGAATCGTCGAAATTGTGTACCAAAATTGATGACAAAAGCAAACCCGCGACCCACCTTAAGGTGCACAATGGAAATAGCATCGATTTTTCATGTTACATGTTACAAAATATATTTTTTTTTTCAGGATGGCGATTTTTTTTGTACATTACTAATATCGGACAAATGAAATTATGGTTATTAACTACATATTGAGGACGATTACATGTCCTATTTAGACTTGTCACATGATGTGGCAGTCACGTGATTTTTGCACATATACTTGCAGTATTGAGGTCACCTCTAAATTTCAATAGTGCAAAGGCCTAACCAAATTAATTCAAAGTTTAATTTTTAAATACAGTGTAGTTTCAACACCCATTGTAGTTTGTGAAAAGTGTTGCGATCCTATATAGATTCTACTATTTCATTGTTAAAATCATATTTGTATGAACGCATACTAATTTTTTTGTTGGTCAGCTTCATTAGATATAGAAATAATTAATTCAGTTTCAAGATTTCAATAGGATCGCAGCACTTTTCAAATAGCTTAATACTTGTAGAGTTTATGTTTAAAAACTTGTCATGATCCATTGAGGGTATGCCCTTGCACCAGATCGATTTATTAAGACCCTTAGGTTATCCTCCAATGTACCTGCATACAAATATACGGCAGATCCGTAAAATATGAAATGTACGGAAAATATATGAACAAAATCATAAACGGGACATTTTATCTAAATTAATGGCATCTTAAAAATCTGCAAACAATATTTTATTTAATTATAAAACACATTTCTTCTTTGTAAAAATATAACTTGATCTGGTTTTGAGGCGTCGCTCAGCTAGTATTGGCCACTGTAGTGTACTAATCATGTCTGTAACGCTACTGGTATTGAGGTAATTGTTATGTACATAGCGAGCCGCCATTCTCTGAACCATTTCAAGTTTTTGTCTATACAGTGTCGTATGTGGATCCCAAACACTACAACAATACTCGAGTTTAGGGCGCACTATTGCTTGATAGGCTCTGGATTTTACTTCTGTGTTTGAAATTTTCAGATTTCGTTTAAGGAATCCTAATGATTTATTTGCATTTGCAATAATATTGTCATAATGTGTGTTCCACTTTAGATTTGACTGTAATGTTACACCTAAATACTTGGCTGAGCTTACTGACTCAAGTACATGATCATGTAGAATGTAATTTTGAGAATATGTCCGTTTCTTATGAGAGATGGTAAATTTAGTACACTTGTCTGGGTGAAAAGCCATAAGCCAATCAGACTCCCACCGTGCAGCTGCATCTAGATCTGATTGTAGTTTGTGACAGTCTTCTGTATGTGTTTTTATTTCTTTATAGATGATACTATCGTCAGCAAAGAACCTGCCACGAGAACAAGAAAGTTCATTACCGGTGCATGTGAGTGGCCGTTTTAAAACCAGACAAAGCAAACAGATAGAAGAACAAAATTATCAAGAATAAGAATTTGCGTGGCCTGAAGTTATATATGGTCTGAAAATTGTTGTCCAACTTGTACTCCTGTTTGTCTATAAATACAAAAAGTCGCAGTTTTGTACAAATAAGGATGGCGTACCTCTGTATATTTAATTATAACTAAAATTCCTATTCTCCTTTTTTTTCATTTCATGTTGCCAAGTGATTCATCAAGAAAATAAAATATGTCCCTGTATAAAGTCAATGAGGAAAAATGTTATTTACAATAAATCTAAATGATTGTAATAAAGGGTTTGAAGAAATACTATTTCCACCGGAAGTTATTTCTTTCAAACAGCGTCCAGAAGTTGTCCAAACAATGAATATTTTCATCGAAATTTTCTGTGCTGATTTTTACACGCTCAAAGGGGAATATTTAGTCAGATGAGAATGTCATACGGAAGTTATTGCAAAAGAACCGCAACGAAAACATTATTTGCATGTATTTTCCCTGTTTGAATAACCAAACATGATTTTTTTTCTTTATCAGTATACTGTTATCTTTGATTTTTTTTCCTGAATAAAAAAGGTACTCACCCTATGTTAAAAATGAATCAGATAATTTTAATATGTACTCCTTTATGCTATTTGATTCTTAAAGTCCATACAAATATTTTCCCCGGTGTATAGAGGGTCTTTAATCTGTGGCCAAGCTACTTACAGCAGAAGAAATAACTTTTTAAAAAAAAATTGAAATAAATCTGATACATGATAATAAGATAATATATAACTGTATCTACAAAGATTTTTATTCAGAAGAGGAAAGAAAATAGTTTTACATCCTTGAGAGAATATGATGACCTTGTATTACATATTATCGATATGAGTGAAAAATTCTCGAGAGGGACGTTAAACAACATACAAACAAACAAAAAACATATTATCGAAATCTGAAAACATTAGTTACATGTATGACTTCATGAGAAGCCTGTCTCAACAGGTTGGGAAATAAATTACACATATATATTAAGAAATTAACATTAAGAGTACACCGGGAAATCAAATTAATAACTAATGCTTATTATAGAGGGGACTATTTCATGTGTACAAAAACGGCACCCCAACTGCTTATGTTGCCAGAGTCCTGCAGATTTCATTCAATTAGGTGTAATTTTGTGATATAGATCTTGTGATATAGATCTTCACTTTATTTTCATATGTATTTTTTTCGAAAAATGAGATAAGCCAGTTAGATTTCAGCGCACGTGCATGATGAGAATAAGGGAATTTTTGTCAGTTTTCAAATTCAGCCAGCCAAACTGGAGTACACATGTATGTGTGTGTTTTCAAGATTTATATATATTATATTGTAGAACCTCAGAATATATCGAAATTTCTGCGTCAGGTAATCAGAGCCAAAACACATGCTAATTCAGTCTTGACATGTCCACACTCCTAATGTATGTTTATATACCGAATTTCAAATCTTTTCATAAAGAAAAATGAAAGTTAAAGTAATTTCAATATATCAGGCATTTCAAACTTCGCTCGCATGAATGTATACGTGAACAAGATAACCCTCGTTCCGCAATTCTACACAATATACCTGCTGACTTTAAAAAGGTTTTATCTAAAGCGGATGAGTAGCTTTCGAAAACACTCGCAAACAAAATGGTGCCAGGAAGAAATACGAAAAAAGTAAAAACAATATGTTCCGAAACTTCTTTGGGGGACATGATAAAGAATATTACGTGTCAAAAGTTTTCTACGCATTCACTCGAACATAATGACAAACTTTCTCATACGGAACATTACATTATTGTTGGAATTATTCCTGTATAGTTTACTGTCATGTTAAAGTGTAGTAGATCCAGTCCCACTGGTGCTATGTAACGAGCTGGTTCTGTCGAGACTAAGGTGGGATTTCTGTGGAAAACACAGACTCTTCAACTCTTTTCTGAACTTCCTTCCGCTCAAACAATACAAGAAGAAGTTGATGGAGGAATTGATGACTATGCCTAATTTAGCGATGGAGAAAGCCTCGTCCACCATGCGATAGTTAACCTAGAAATAGCAGTATACAATGATTTTAAACAGTAGTGCATAGAATTTAAATGAATACACAAATGACGTAAATCTAACAGTCTATCATCTTTACTTGCATTTTCTGATTTCAGCATGCAATGAATTGAAACAGCTGTGTAGCGTACAGAAAATAAACCCTTGATCCTCGACATGACACAAACTAACAGTCTATTATCTTTACTAACACTTTCTTGATATTCGACATATGACACGAACTAGCAGTCTGTTATCTTTACTTACACTTTCTGGTTTCAGCATGTAGACACATTGCGTGAGGCACTGGAATATGATTAAAAATAGGAAGGTGAAGGTCACCGTTAATAAAAGACGCGTCAGCTGGGCCTCTGCTCTTCTTGTCTTTTCTTTCCCTAGCTTTGTTTTCTTGTTTGATTCAAAAACCTTCCGCAAGATTAGGATATTGAAGGTAAAAACTGCGACCCAGGGTGCAAGGACAAGGAACATACAATGCACCCAAAACTCATAGTGTTTACTTCCCTCGCCTCCCCCATATTCTGTAAAGGTGAATGCTCTACCTTCCTTTGGTGGATCCAATGGTTGAAATGTTTTAAAGTGTGGAATATTAATGATGAAGCAGAGAAGGAAAATGGATCCTGCTCCTATATAAACTCTTCGTTGAGAACAAAATTCCTGAAACATCAAAAAATTCATGTACATCCTTTTTCTTTATACAAGAGCATGCTCTACGTTCGAACAATTTTCAAAACGAGGCAAATTACAGACAAACATGTTGATGAAAAAAAAATATCAACAATATCGTTTGCAGTCATTATTTCGTGAGTTCTATTCTCGATACAATGACCTTGTCGGCAAATACAATCTATCATTAAGTCGAATGCTGGCTGACATTTTACACTAACTGTTAGGCCTTTATTCACACACCGCATTGTCTACGGATTTTTTTTACTGTTTTCCCGATCATGACAAGGAGCACACGGTGGGTGTGACCGGTCGACAGGTGATGCTTACTCCTCCAAGGCACCTTATCCCACCTCTAACGTTTTTAGAGGTCGGTGTTTGCTCTGTTCCCGATTTGTATTGTTTGAAAAGACTTAGAGATTGATAACTGTTCGTTATCTCCATATTTCATATCTGATATGAAAGGTGGTAAACATTTCCGTTTTTGCACATATCAGCCTTGGGGATATTATCATTTTAAAGACAAAAGCCTTTTTTATGAAAAGTCTATTCTTTTTCACTTAAAAATCAGCAGGCATGTTCACGAAACTTTCCTAAGATACATCCTAAGATTGTTCCTAAGATATGACTTAGGAAGAAAGTTAGGAACATCCTACGATCAACATATCATGAGATGTGACTCGACGGTATCTTAGGAACATCTTATGTTAGGATATCCTAACATACGATGAACACTATTGTTTCTAAATACATATATAATTTGGGAGACATTTGCAGCCAAAAAAACTTCTATCTTACATAAGAAAAAAATTATCTATTTACATGATGACTTCCGTATAATTTTAATGTTTACATCTTTAAAATTATAAGAGAAATATTTAATACCCCATGTAAGTCACAACGAAACAAGCAAATTTTTTTCTATCAAAGTGAAAGATTTTTATTTAATTTTTATTTTAAAAACTGTGTTTCAGCAATAATATCTGCAACATGTTGGATAACTAAAAAGATAAAAAATAATCTTGAATTCAGTAATTTACCACAATGAAGATTATGATATGACGTATTATAAAAGTCTGAATTATTTTTTTAAAAAATAAACTAATAAAAAATATGAAATGAATTTTGCAGGGTTCGAAACCATGTACTTTAGTATTCAAACAGGGAAATGTTTCATTATCTTAAAGGCAATGCTTAATCCCCGAGTCTTGGAACTCTCATCATTTTAATTGATGTAAATCAAACCAATATATCCCAATTACTTATATCAAGGAGATAGATAAAAATAAGACAATAATTTTCACTTTTGGTCCCTTACACATAAAACGTGTATGAATGGGTTTTTTTTAATCGGGAGAGGGGGCGGGACTGACCCCTCATTATTTTTCCGAAAAATAGTCTCTTACTGTTAATTTAATATTGATTTTTTTAAAAAAAAAAAAAAAAAAAAAAAAAAAAAAAAGGCCACCCCCTCCACTTTCTGTTTGCAGTATGGACGGACATCCCCCCCCCCCAACCACCACCACACACACACACATTACATATCAGAAGTTTTTGCGTGCGGATATTTTTATTTTTATTTTATTTTTTTTTTTTTTTTTTTTTTTGGTCAAGTTTTTTTTAGGGAATTTTTTTTGGGCTAGTCAATTATATTTTTCTGCCCCCTTACCCTAAAAGTCAATTATTTTTTCTGCCCCCTTCCCCAGCTTGAAAAGGGATCTGACGGGCCTGCATTATGAATAAGAAGTGGAAGTGAAAATTTTCAAGTGCAAAATTCAGGTGCTTTTTGATGAGGTGGGTTAGGACCCAAGAAACCCAAGACGTTCTTAGGACACGTCACAGTCCTAAGATAGCTTCGTGAACATGCCTGCAGGTACTGAATCAGATGTGATAATTACCTGGGATCTGTGTGACCAACAGACCTGAAGGTATCTGTCCACAGTAACACCAACAAGCATCCAAATACTTACAATCACTGACAGAAAGAAGAATGGGTAACCAAAGTAAGCAAAGAACTCGCCGTAAGTTTTGTCTCCCAAAATAACAGGGTGAATCTGGCCAAGACTGTCACAAAGCACAAAGAACAGTAGAACAAACACATCTGCGATCGCTTGAAAAATTAAGTACGTCCCTGTAGATGAACGCATAGTCTTCTTACTCCATATGATGAGAGATAGGACATTTCCAGCGATTCCAATAATAACAAAGATCAAAGCTACGATGGAGGAGGAGACCCAGTGCATCTTTATGGCGATTGCCATTGATTCGCTCTCTGTTGCATTTTCCATCATTTCAAACTGCTTATCAAGGTTTACCAGACCTCGTTAAATTATAAAATTATGAAACAAAATTACAAGACAGCAGCTGTGCTAAACTATGACTCTGCTCATTAAAAATTAGAATGTCGTTGAATAATAGTTAGATTTTTATTCCTTCTTCTAGTTACCATCCAAATAAAAGATATTATACTTGTTCATAAAAATACTTGTATAAAAAATACGTATTTTAAGCTCTGAAAATGATACTTTGTTTACAATTGAGGAATGTTGTTCTCAATTTATTAAATTTCGTTTATACCGTTGCTATTATGAACTTGAATTATTACATATGATGAGACAAACTACTTTTTGCTCCTAAGTAATTGATAAAGAAATGATGTTATCGAAAGTACATACATTGTTTAAAAATTGCCTTGAAATTAAAAAGAATAAAGAAGGAGAACACAACTTACCAAGTAAAAAACTAAGAAGAAATTTAAAGTAGACTAATTCTGCGCTATTTATATAGACTGCGTGTTTACAATTAACCTTGTTTATGCATCATCTATTTACAATCCGTTTTATGAATAATTTTTCTTCCCTGTTTTGAAATGCGCCGTTTAAAATTATAAAATATTTCTTCTCTCGACTCATATGAAACGTTTTTAGTTATAGGTTATCTTAAAGACAATTAAAATTCTTGGCCTCATATTTTTACCTCGATAATGTGTACCAGTCTCACTATGTATTATTTTTACATGTTTGTGTATCATCCTAGAGAGAATGAAAAGTTGATAATTCGTCAGATATCGCTAATGAATAATCTGAGTCTGTGTTTTAATGATTTATACCTTCTTTTGTTTGTCAGGTATGAATTAAGAATACAAACTACTTTAAAAAAAGATAGCATAAACCTAGACTTTGCGCTATAAAAGCAAGGCATGATAAGTTAGATATTTTTGCTATCTTTGAAAAGTATCCAGTGGCCCATTTCACAAAATATCTTACGACTAAGACAAATATTTTCAATTCTTCAAAAGTATCTAAATTATTGTAGGTCACAAAAATATTGTATTTCTATTACATTACAATAAATTGTGAATATCCCTTCAGGAAAAAATTATTATCTTTATTAAACAATGAAATTACAGAGCTGTCAAATCTTAGTCGTAAGATTTTTTGTGAAAAGGCTACAGATCGATTAAAAATTCTACTTACCTCTGGTCAATGAAGGCCTACTTATTAGTGAGTAGCTTACAACATCTGTCACAATATAGCTTACAGCATCCCTCACAATATAGCTTATAACATCTGTCACAATATAGCTTACAACATCTCTCGCAATATAGCTTACAACAGCTGTCACAATGTAGCTAACAACATCTCTCACAATATAGCTTACAGCATCTGACTCAATATAGCTTACAACATCTGTCACAATATAGCTTATAACATCTCTCGCAATATAGCTTACAACAGCTGTCACATTGTAGCTTACAACATCTCTCACGATATAGCTTACAGCATCTGTCACAATATAGCTTACAACATCTGTCACAATATAGCTTACAAAATATGTCACAAAATAGCTTACAACATCTGTCACAATATAGCTTACAAAATATGTCACAATATAGCTTACAACATCTGTCATAATATAGCTTACAACATCTGTCACAATATACCTTACAGCATCTGTCACAATATAGCTTACAAAATATGTCACAATATAGCTTACAACATCTGTCACAATATAGCTTACAGCATCTGTCACACTATAGCTTATAACATCTGTCAAAATATAGCTTACAACATCTGTCACAATATAGCTTACAAAATATGTCACAATATAGCTTACAACATCTGTCCAATATAGCTTACAGCATCTGTCACAATATAACATCTTTAACAATACAGTACATCCCAGCAACAAAGCTTACATTTTTAAGTATACAGCTTATGACATACGTCACAATATAATTTAATAGAATTTACGATTTCTAGACCATGAATACAATGCACTCTTGCAACAGAAGTACATATTTTTTTTATTTTAAGACAATAGGACAAATTATCACAACTCTTGTTTTCATTTTAACCTGCTACAAGCAACACATAGAGAGTAAAGACAAACAGGATTGATGAGACCAAAAGAATGCACTTAGAATTAATTAAAGAAATAAAACAGTTCTATAGAAATTGTTAGGATTTAAATATTGTCTGAAATAAGTGTCTCTGAAAGTTATTGTTCTATATGTTTTAAGTCTACCGAAAAAAAATATTCCCTAAAATGTGTCTGTTGTATTGAAGATCTGTAAGAGTTTATATTCTCAATGCATCAGTCAGTCTGACCTACATAAAATTTCACTTATCAGAAAGGGTGGAATACAATTATTTATTTTTCAACTTAAATACCGAGGAATGAAAAGCATACATGTCAACAAATTATTTTGATTGAATGATCATGAATTCTGATTCTCACTGATTAGTCCATATTCTCTTTCCTTTGTGTACCTTGTTTGTGAGTGAGTTTACTACAAAACGAAATGAAAGAAAAAAGTTTACTTAGATTTTTTTTCTTCTGACAAACCATAAATTAGCTAATTTTTTATAAATCAATGAAATACCATGTTTTAAAGCATGTTTCGTTCTAAACGTAAACACAATCGTCGCAAGTATCACAGAGACTAAACTCCTTTATTAGTAAATGGTTGAGTATACATTCTCTTAAAATATCGTGTTCCACTTTGTGAAAGAGATGTTAAAGTGTTGAAATAAAACTAAAATCTGTTAGTACAAAACACATGATGTGATAAGTATTTATTATTTATTTATTTTTCGTTGGAGACAAGAATTATATGTGAAAAAATGCTTTAAATTCCTGATTGTTTAATAAGACGGTTACTGACTTCTGAATATTGTATACTTCTAACTATACGGACATTGAAAGGTATTAGTTTAATTCGGCCTTCCGTTTCGATCAATCAAAAGCTGACCAAATACGCAGAGTCACAAGTAGACCTCATCAAAAAGATTTTTCAGATGGAATTGAACGAACAGTTTAGACATTTTGTTTGTTTGTTTGTTTTTTTAATGGAGCTCGTACTCCTTTTAAAATGACTGACTTATGATTAATATGTTTAAAAATGATAACAAGGATAATTTTGGCTTACAATTCCAACCATATCTTCAGTTCTCAAAACTAAGACAGTAAACTTTTATATTCATTGAATAAAATGTTTTGATGAAATATATGGAGATAACGAACAGTATCTGAGCTCAAAAATCCATTAAACAATACAAATTTTGGAGCAATTCAGATTGATATCAGATTCAACCGTTTAGGACTCATTGCATGCTTTGCAGTGAAACCTTAAGATCAAATGTACAGGCGAAGGATTTTCTTAATTACTTTGTACCCGAAAATTATTCTTCTAAGTAAATTTCCCTTGATTTAATCCTCTCTCTTCTTCTTACAAACCACCTACAGCCATTCATTTTCAGGTGGAGGCAGACACATATATCTGAATTGAGTGAAGTTAAAGATGTACACTTTTTCTGTCATTTTTATATATTGGATTAGCATTTCTAGATATTTGCCCAGAAGGCGACATTTTCATATATTCATATGCGCATTTTAAAACAGGGAAGTTAAAATCCATGCAAAGGATTGCAAGCAGTTGATGCATTAACAAGGTGAAATTCAGGTTAAAGATAACACGTCAAAGTCTTGATAACAAGGGCGAAATTCTTGTTTAATAGGTTTTAATTTGTCAGTCACACACCCTTTGTTCTACGACGATGTATTTTCTAAAACTTACAAAGCATAATAACAAAATGTCAATTAATTTGTGGTTTTACTCCTAACAATTTCTATAGAACTAAAAATATGAATATCTATTGTTTGATAGTTTTTTCAGTATTCAGCACTATCAAAAGAGAAATTATTCTTACCAGAAATCGTATTTTTATTTTAAAAAGCACAAAGATTTCTCTTTGATTTTCTCTTTGATTACCGTCCTTTAATTTAAAAAAAAATATGTACATGAAGTCCTTAAAGTCTATGACAACTTATATATTAAAGTGATATTTGTTTTTTGATATACCATAAAACATTTCTTCAAAATTGTGCTAATTCTACAGTATCTAGGACATATATTGTTGTCATTCTATTTTCAATAAATTGAAATTCATACGTATACGTACGGAGCTCTGAATACAAAATCAAGTGTTATGACTACTTGTTAAAAGATTCAGCTATCCTCTTTCATTGATAATTGGATATCGATATATTTAAAATTCGAAATAAACAGTCAGAATTCAGCACCAAGACATCTGAAGAATCAAACATACGTAATAATATAAGTTTGTTCTTACGAGCATTAACGATCATAATTATCGATCATGATTTTTTCTTCCGATCATGACAAGGAGCACACGGCGGGGATGTCCAGTCGACAGGTGATGCTTACTCCTCCATGGCACCTTATCCCACCTCTGACATTTTTAGAGGCCGGTGTTTGCTCTGCTCTACATTTGTATCGTTTCATTGGACTTTCGAATAGAATACTGTTTCGTTGACTTTCATTATTTCACCTTTCAGTTAAAACTTAAATGTGGCTTACAGTGGCTTTTCAGTGGCCATTCAGTTACTGAATGGCGGGTACATTTTAGTGACATTTCAGTTACCTTTCATCCACAATTCAGGCACATTTCAGTCTCCATTCAGTGGACACATTTCAGTTATCTCCTAGTTACCTTTCCGCACCCTTTCCGTCCTCTTTCAGTGACCTTTCAGGTATTATTAGTCGTCATTCAAGAACCTTTCTTCGGCTTTTCATTGGTATATAACTATCCATTTCTAAACCATTTATCAAAATTATTTATTTATTTAATGCTTTCTGTTATTCTTCTTGTGTTAAGAATATTCAGGTAGAAATTCTTACATTGAACAGTATTTACAATTATGGATCATGAGATATGTGTCTTAATATAATAATAGATGTGTTGAACATTACAGTTCAACTGTGGACTAATAGAAATAAAAAAAAATATTTTAGATTTTCTTATTCCTTGCACAAAAATAGATTTAGAAAAATTCACAATTCGATTTCTACACATTTATTAATATTCATCGGCATACTCAGTCATGAGTCGCTGTGACGTAATGGAGAACGCTACAGTCTATCAAGCCAGATGTAATTCCCCAGCATTAGTTACGCATTTTTGTTAAAGATTCGCTTTTATTCATTTTTTTATATGAAAATAAATAATTTTGATACCATAATAAAAAGAATATTCAAATAAAATTGCGAGGTTAAAAAATAAGCAGATTATCTAATAAAAAGATACATCTGAGAGATAACTGAAAAGTACCTGCGATTCAGTCAACTGAATGGTAACTGAAATATCACGTAAAAGTTACTGACAAAGCTACTTTCAGTGACTTTTCAGTGACCTTTCGGTTGGAATTCCGGTGACATATCATCCTGTTTATGTTAAGGACCGGTAAATATTAGGTCATTTTTGAAAAGCGTCTGGAATTTCCTGTTGTCAAGTGTGTTTTTTTTTCTATGTGTTGCAAATGATGTAATAAAATATTATATACTTCATAGAGGCCTAACGTTGTTCAAATATGCAAATTTAAGTCCATTGTGGTCAGTTTTATTTGCTACAGACTACATATATATAGCTATCACATGTTTCACACTCACTTATGTAGTGTATGAATATCTGAGTGGTTAGCTCTGTAGTTTGCCACTGGAATTTCTACTGGTTGCGATACCCGATAGGAAGAAGAAACGGATTCCTTTGTATTTAAATAAAATCTTTTCTTTTAGCGTCGGATAGAAAGTGTAAACAAAAAAAAACAACAAATTAACAAATTTCAAAATACTCTGTTGTAAACTCGATGAGAGAGGGCATGATTGATTAACGCTTATAATCTGAAATCAAAATAATCTAAAAGCAGCAGTTTCAAAGAAACTAAATAAGACATAACGTTTATAAAATGGTTTTTAAAAAATACAGAACAAATTGTTATCTGTTGTCATTATATAATATAGATCACGATTTTTCTATTGATTAATAAATTTACCTGCTAACATTGAATACTAGGTTTACAATATAACGATATCAATTCAAACTTCAAAAATTAGATTTCAAAATAAAATTTATAACCTTTGAATGAAGGGTTCAATCAACGAATCACAATTTTTGATACGAATAAGCAATGCAAAACGTTCTCCGAAGTTGATATTTAAAAAGATGTTTGAGTCCCGATATAGAATATCTATGTAGTTTATGGAGATCAAATATTCCAACAATATGTTGGAATTACCATGGGTACTAACTACTCCACGTTATTAGGAGACCTATCTTTGCATTCATATAAAGCAAAATATATTCTACGAGTAAAACTTGTCGCCTGCGTGGCGCAGTGGTAGAACGTCTGCTATAGAGTCGTGGAGTAAGGAGTTGATCCTTACGTCGCGGGTTCGAATCCACCTGTGGGATGTGGAGACCGGTTTTTCGGATGAGACCGTATAAACCGAGGTCCCGTGTCGCAGTAGGTGTTGGCACAAAAAGATGTCTGACTGCTCAATGGCCCTAAACGCCGATTATAGGTATAAATTTGCAGCTCTCCACCGGCAAGTTGTGGTGTCTCCATATGAGTGAAAAAATCTTGAGTGGGATGTTAAACATCAAACAAAAAAAAACGAGTAAAACTTCTACATGAAAAGAAATCTCTTGCTTTGGCCTTAAATTCAGATATAAATATTTAGATATATGGGCGACAGTTTAATCAATTAACAATGTTCATTTTTATTCCTACGATGATAAAATCCCTTTGATCTCGAAATAGAATACACCACAGAGTCTGAGAAATCTATATTTCACTTGAAAAAGACTTTAATCTTAACCTAACAACAAAACTTTATGATAACTTTGATGACTTCAACATTTTTTATTGTCAACTTTTCTTAATTTTGTAGCAATATACCATTATCACTTGCATATGAAGTGAATGTCTCCCAGTTGATTCGATACGCAAGAACACACTCTACGTAAATAATTTCTCTTAACTAATAAGTTGATGATACAATGATATCATCAATTCCGTTTAAAATCAACATTTTGCAAATTCCAATAACCTTATTGGTAAATACAATCGCTCGTTAAGTCGAACGTGGACTTTAAGTTTTTAATGTAAATTTTTTTCACAGATTTTTGTACTCATTCATACTGATTATGAGAAGGAGCACCTGGCGGACGTGGCTGGTCAGCGGGCGATGTTTGCCTCTCCATGGCACCTGATTCCACCTCTGATGTTTTTGGAAGCTGTGTTTGCTCTCCTCCAAATTTTATTGTTCCAATGCACTTGCATATAAAAATCAATCAGTATTAAACAAAAAAGCAAAATGATTGATTGTACATATTTATTACAACGTCTAAAAAAAATCTATAATTATAGAATAAGTGACAAATTCTGATTTCAACAAAAACATTTTTTTTTTTGTCTAATCAGGGACTAAAAGCTTAAATGTATTTAATTTATCAAAAGAGAATAAAAACTATTTTATTTTGTATTTTAATGAATGTGCTAGGGGAATCAAGAGAAATTTTGATTAAAGAGTCATCTTAACTATTAAGATTAAAGAAAAATAAATACTAGTATATCATTGATTCTTTAGCCTATACTGCACGTAAAACTTATAATTTTGTATAATAATTAATACTATAAGACTTCTTGCACATGTAGTAAGCTAAGTTCTTCCTCAAACTTTGTTAAAAAACACAGGGGATGCTTACTCTTCCTAGGCACCTGATCCCACCTTTGGTGTCCGTGTTTTCTGCCCTGTTCACACATTTGTATTGTTTGTTGATTTTTTTTTTTAGTTCGATCACTATTCGTTATCTTCACCTTCTTTATCATAAAGAACATGTCTGAAAAACAAAAATAGACAAGTACTTATTTCGTGAGCATTATTTGGCTTCTACATGTAAGAAATCTTTACCTTCGTCCTAAAACATGTTATTGACAAAAGTTTCTGCTTACCGTGTTAACAGGTTATTTATATGAATGGCCACACAATGTTTTAACAATTTTTGAATTATTTCCCCCTTGAAAGAGTATTTGGCTATGCATTCAAAGAAAACCTGGATTTCTAACAAATTTTAAATGTTTAATCTAGGCACACGACAAATGAACATGTGGACTCAGGACATTTTTTAGATAAGAAACCAAAGGAAACTCCTACTTTATATTTTTTAATGAAAATGCAAAGTGTTAAACTGTTTACATATGATAATGATTTATTTTTTAATCCCTTGTACAGGATGTGTCATTTTGCTTATTTTTCTCATGCAAATTAATACAATGTATTTGAGATTGTTTTGAATTTCGTTTAACTTTGAATTTGTCAAAGGTATAATTATTTCGAGTTTTTCATATGGAATTTATTAAAACTTTCATTCTTCATCATGTGACTTCATCGAGAGCTCAGAAGTGATGAAAACGATAACAACAGGTGATTTTTTTTTCCCTTTATAGCAATACCTTGTTTGAAGAATTCTTGATCCAGACATGTTTTCGTAAATTAAAAAATCATATAAAGTTTTCATGCTTTTGCTAGAACAAAACATAAATATTTGGTAGTTGTAAAGATTAGATATTGATAATTTTTCTGCTGTAAATAGTTAAAGAAATGTTTCTTTTATTTATTGGAACATTACTTCACAGATAGGAATCAAGTACAGAAATTACATAAAAATCAGACACTTAAATAAGATTTACTTGTTTTATTCAACATTTTTCCCCAATATTGAGTTTCACTTTTCATAGAATGACATTTTATACCATAAATAAATGTATATGTACATTACCAGTGCTTTGTACAGGGCAAATATTTGGAAACACGTAATATACAGTAACGACAATTATTTTTGGTTTATAAATAGAATGTTTACATTGTGAAATTAAAATATTTTTCATTTGTACTTGATTCAGAATTATTATTTCGCAATTGTGGAGATTTTCTCTGATTCTTGGTACTTTTTCCTTGTGCTGATCTTAAAATCAGAACCCGACGACGATTTCACGCTTGTTCCCCGTGATATCGGTCTTTTACATCCAAAAAGTTCTTCAAGACCACTTCTAAACATACTGGACGTCAAAACGTAGAGAAAGAAGTTGATAGCATAGTTGAGCTGCTCGAGAATCTGAGACACTTCTTTGAATACCAGAAACCCCAGTGCATTTGAACCAAATGCATTCAGCCTAAGAAAGAAGGCGCTCATGTGTAGAGCTGTTACAGGCGAGATCAGAAGAATGTAGGCAACCATTACCCCGACCAGCATAACAGTGGTTCTGTTGGTATCTTGAGAGGCAGTCTTCCTTCTAACTGATTTTCCCATCATTGACTTCCGCTTCCGGCCTTGTCGTGAGAGCTTTATTGAAATAAGCGGAGTCATTGTGATAAGAAAGCACATAGGAATGAGGGAATAAATGGATAAACCCCCTAACAAAAATGTTCCAAACCGACTGACTTCATAAGGATCTGTTTTGTCGTAAACATCGGGGTGACAAATATTGTTTTTGGTGATTTGAGAAGCATAGCTCCAAATCGAAGTGTACGTGAAAATGAATACATACACCAGTACTATTAGAGCCACGGCTACACGCTTCGTGCAAATTATTTTAGCTTTCAGGGGGAACCAAACAGCTACAAATCTCTCCCAGCATATGAAGACGAGAAACCATGACGATGACATTTTTGCTGTCTTGAAAATAACGAAAAATGCTTTGCAGCCAATGCTTGACAAAGCTCGTAAATCTGTGCCGAGATACATGAGAACAAAGTTCTTATTCAGTGGCTGAGTCAACAAAAGGACAGAATCTGACAAAGCCAGGGCGATCAAGAAGAGTCGTGAAGTAAGGTGGCTGTACCTTTTGGTCTGCATAATGATGATGGTCAGCGTGTTTCCTGTCAAACCCAGCACCAGTAATACTGGCAGCAAGACGTAATTGGTGTAAGACAGAATTTCCATCGCTTTCTTCAGAGTTTGTGTAGCCGATGTGTCAGTAAAATTATCACAGGGTATGCTACAATTGCCAGTCAATTCCACCTCTGTTGTGTCATTTAGTAATAGAGCCATTTCCTAGAAATAGAGTGTTCCAAGATTATACTAAGTGAAACTATTTTTACTCTTCCTTTTTAAGTTCTAACTTTTCAAATTAAATACTTTCCATTTTGTATTTTATCTTCAGATATAAATAAAATTCAATAAGAAATATCAGTTAAAATAGTTGCAGACTTGCTGATAGGTGAAAATCTTGTCTACTATTTTCAGCTATGAAATAGAAGTGACGAACCCTTTCAGATTACTCGATTTCCCTCATACACGTTTTTGCTCGCTAGACGAGCAGTTTGAGAGTAATAGTTCATCAAAATGTTTGATATACACACGTATAACTATTACTGATGCAAAAATTTGTTGTTTTTTCACAAAATACAGAATATATATGTATTTTCGATGGAATGATGCAAAAGAAAGCAAGATTCGGTCACTGTGATAAAAGCATGTAGAAGCTTTATGCCGGTCAATTAACAAAATATATATTTTTTTAATTTTTTAAAACACTGATTAACATTGATTTTTATTTTTCTATTGAAAGACAATATGCTTGCAAATTGTACTTCTCTTTCTGCAAATACTTAAGGAAATTTTGAGAGAGCATGTGTATCAACGAACATTGATTGGGGAAAATGATGCAGATGATTTGATTTATAATTTCATTAGAACGTCATTAAATGATGTTCCTAATGCGTTGCTTCCTTTCTAATAAAGACATCTGTAGGATGTTTGTGAGGTCTATTGCAAACTACACGGAAGTAGAAATACAAACTTTAGGAATTAAGAATATTACATGAAAGAGTGTTTGATCAAAACAATCCTTAGCTTTGACTATCTTATTTAGCTCTGAATCCCCTATCTTATTCGGTGAGTATGTTTATTTCGCTATTTGTCCAGTTTCATTTACGTTTATTTCACATATCATCAGATACATGTATCTCTTTTAACACTAAAGAAATTCTCTATACAAATTAGCCATATACCAAGGAAGAAAATAATCGAATTAAATTAAGCGTTCTTTATTCCCTAATATATAAACTTGTGGTATCTCGTGGTAATATAAAAAGGCAGAGCGTAAAAAAACTTATTTCTGTATGAAGTTTTCCAATGGCCATAGTTAATCGTGTTGCCTAATCACGCAGCGCAATAATACATGTATCTACATGTAATGACACTCTTTCATAAGTACATTCAATATATCTTATGTATTAATGTGTATTTTTTATTGAATCGGATGTGAAAAATACAAAGTGTTTTGATGATGACCAATCACATTTCTATCGTCGAAGTAGTTGTCTTTGATATCAAATAGCCTAGTGTTTAATTTATTGTAAGAAATCGTTGTATAAAGTGTAGAAAAGTCGTACGTTTTGATGTTATTGACTTTAGAAAAATTTGGTGATTTTAAATTTTCTGAAAGTTCTTTGGAGTTTTTGAGAATCCACATCTGATTTACACCACTTCAAGAATATACTTTAGCACAGTTAATATCTTTGTAATGAGTAAAGATAGAGGCTTGGTGGAGCAATTGCTGGACCCGGCAATGTCTTTTTAAGGATTTTTATGAAGTTTAGGAATCCAGTATAGATAGGGTAGATCGAACTCATCTTGGTTGACTGAAATATTTTAAGAATTAAACACTGAAATGTGATTTGGAAGAATTTCATCCTTAGAAAGTGAACTGTGAGTATAACCTGGACTTCCAGACGTTGAATTAACCTTAACTGTATATATGTGTTAGAAGAACATGGTTTTAATTCTACATCAGGAAATCCAACTGATACTCACAGTTCATTGTGAGTGGATTTAATTGAATCTCATAAAGAGATTATAGTGAAAATAATAAAACCAAAATATAACAAAAATATCCCTGATAATAAGAATAGGAACACAGTTCTTTAAATGAAAAATGAAATTAAAATCAAGAGATTCTCACTGTTTTTGCAACAAAATGCAATCCTGGACTCGGAAAAATAGAAGGGAAATTATTCAAATACAGGCACATCATTAAAAGTACGAAGATTGCAATACAATCTTCTCCGACTTACATATTGTGTAAATATGCCCGATAAGAATCTGAGTGATATGCTCTCCTTCTCACTAATTAAATAATCTGTACAACGAATGTGCAAGTAGGCACCTGATAATGGCGGATTTGCAGCTTATTAATAAACTATTAGAATCATAAACCTCGTATCACACCGATGTAACACTAAATTAGTGTAAGTAAAGTGATTTAATGTACATGTGTACGTGGCTGATCGGAGCCACTTTCCTTGAAATTAACATTTAATATATTTTTCTTTTAATAACATATAAACTGTGTAGAAAATTTTAAGAATTCAATTTTCAATAAGACGGACGAGAAAAGAAACACAAATTAAAGATGGTTTATGAATACATAAATGTAATTGTACATTTTCTTTTTCAAGTTATTATCTCTAATTTGTTTTCATTTTCTTTTTATTGTAACCAGTGGTAGAGCGCTCGCTTCGTGATCGGGAGGCCCGGGTTCGATTCCCGTTCGACGCGTCGGGTCAAACCTAAGACGTAAACATAGGTAATGATGACTGTTCCTTCGCCAAGCGCCCGCGGCCGGCACTAGAAGTGAAAGTCATGGGTCTTTCGGATGAGAACTTTAAATATCCGAGGTCCCGTGTTACGGTAGGTGCTGGCACGATAAAGATCCCTCACTGCTCAATGGCCCTGTGTGCCGAGTATAGGTCTAAATCTGAAGCCCTTCACTGGTATATGGTGACGTCTCTATATGAGTGAAACATTCTCGAATGGGACGTAAAACAACATACAAGCAATCAATCAATCCAACACGAGTCGGCAGTTTTTCTTCTTTTTTTTCATAATTTGCATTTGTTGGTGTTCGACAATTACAGAAGTGACCTAGTTTAATCTGAATTTTTACATTTAATTTCCATCACGAACATGGTGTGATCAGCGCAAAATTTGTATAGGAAACAATTTTTAAAGGTACCGTATAATGGGTTATTTTTTTCCTGTAAAATTTTAGGAATTTATGTGCAAATAAGTTGTTTTAAATTTTTACATGTTATTTTTTTTTACGAATTTGAGTGTGGATAAAAATCAAAACCTAATTTAAGCTTATAATTCATTAGCCAAAGGCAATTTAATTTTGAATTTTAAAAAAGCACAGGCGTTGATCAATCTGCATACCGCCGCAATTTTGAGTCAGTTAAGATAAGATGCATGGCTTGTTGGATGTATTCCTATTGAATATTTAAAATCATTAATGATTATTCAGTGTCTGACAGACCGTGTGTCAAACTAGAAAAGGGTACATGGTTGAATCGTGCAAGTGTTTAACGCGTTATTCTTGGCACATCAAGAGAATTCGCAGTTCTCAATAACTATGTGAAACATGCAAAATTAAAATTTACTTGTTTAAAATCCGATTACATCAATGTGAAAAAGTAAACAAAACAAATGTATATAGTGTTTATCGTTGTATAACGGTAATCACGTCCGATGTTTGCAGTTACATGTACCAGTATTTAATTGCTGTGTATCTGTTTTCTGTGCATTTGCATCCAAATGGTAATGATAACTGAAACAATAATTGTTTTATTTATTGATGACCAATTTCATTTTACAAAAACACTGTGCTCAGTGCAAGACACTTTCTATCTACCCCAATTATGGATATTTCACACATCTTAATGCATTGATTAAGCAACGGACACATAGTTTAAGGTGTTATATATTTGTATTTCGAAACCATTTTCGCCAACCCCATTTTTTTAAACCAGTTTGTATTGCTAGTTTGCATTGTGCCGGAAATACGGAATGTCTTCGCATATGTATACGTATTTTAATGTTATGAAACTTAACGCGTGTGTTTTTACCGCTGTAAATCTTTACGCGTTTAAATTTTACAGATTTAAAGGTCACGTAAAAATGAGTAAAAATTTGCAGTAGTTAAACAAAACCCGTTATATGGTATTTCAAACATAGCTTTCTCGGTTCTCGGACAGAATGCTTTGTAACGGCCTCAGGTAAATATTGGTTCTCGTAATGTTTTCGCCAGTATCTAGTAGACTCAACTACAATACCCCGATTTTACAGTAGAAAAAAAAGGCGCGATATTTTGATAAGATCATCAAGAATTTCTTAATCTAAAATGATCGTTGTTTTAACAAATTTCTCATTAAAGCATCAAGCTATCAAAAATGGGTAGAAGAAAAGTATGAGATTGATTTTTGATTTATAAAAAAAATTAATTAAATAAATCATCAACTGGTGTTCTACTAAGTATCCTTATTATTTGATAGAAACCCAGAGACTATTAATGACAAGCTTACAGTAGTAAAAATAGGGAGGCTTGATATATTCTGAATATTGGCTTTCTGTGATTCTGTAATTCTATATTTAAAATACTAATCTACATACGGTATTAATGTATCTAGTGTAAGTAAGAAGTCAATAATTGACAATCATATTGCTCAGTTTGTGTATTAATCAGCTAGTAACGGTACTTCCTTCATTTAACTGTCACCGAAGTCATCCATTGCGAATTTGCCCTCGCACTCCACTACCTTGACGAGTGAATGTGTATACTCAAAAGTTCTTAAATAATAAAAATAAAAGTAAAAACAGTCATTACTGAAAATCATTTATTACCCCCGCCAACAACACTATGGTTTCTTGATCCGCCCCTGAGAAAGTCTATGTCGCTGTCGGAGTGTGAATTCAATATGACATCTGAGCATGAAAATAGACAGATTTGTCACTTAAACTGAATGTGAAGCTAAAAAGAATATGAGTAATGATATTTTTACGGAATCAATCTTTGGGGAAAAAATAATGGAATCACATATAAATTTAACTTAATATATCAACCTTCATGAAGTTTGTTAATAAATTTTAGAATCTTATTTTAGAAAATATTTTTAAGTCAATTATATTTAAACGATGAATATCCATGTAGAGTTCACAAACAACCAGTGGGGCAAAAAAGATTTATTTATTTTTATTGCAGTATATCAAAG